ATTGGAATAAAATACGATTTAAAATGAGATTGGAATAAAATACAATTTAAAATGAGATTGGAATAAAATACAATAATATATGGATAAATAAAATAGGATAAGATTATATTTCAGCGCCACCCCTACAATCTACCCCAATCCGATCTCAACCGAACCATTTCGCTCAAGTACTATGCTGTATTAAATGTTGTTTTCAAATTCTGATCAAGAAGTACCCCAACCAAACAGCCCAACCAAAGAATCACCAAGAACGCTCCCATCAATACTGACAGAGCAAGCCAATAGAATGTAAATTGAGAACAAAGTCCACTTCCTTCTAGCTGTGATGATGTTACTCTATTTGGGTGATGAAATGTCTGCAAAAAAAAACACCCAACCAAGCTCAGAAAGCATCAACTGCCCCATAGTCCTCCTCCTTCTCCTGTCCTCAAATTCCATTTCTAGCATTGATGATGTTACCTAGTTTGGTAATGAAATGCCTCCAAGAAAATAACCAAGCTCAGAGAGCACCGAGGACCCATCATTTCAACCCCAAGCTACAAATATTTTCCTTCATTGGTACAAATTCATTTCTCTTTCTATAAAGGTTTAGATCAAACTTAGCCTGGGATTTCTATACCAACTGGTTATATTCCCAAGCACGCTAAACCTTTGGGACTTCTTGGTTATCCATTCCTGGCTTAAACCATTCCCCAAAAGAAAATAACCAGATTTGGATAGTGATCTAACAGGGAGAAATAACCCCAAAAGGAGAGTTTTCTTCCTGATAAGCCAAGCTACCCAAAACTTAGGATTTGAGGCTCTCTCTATGCAAACTGGTGAAACTATAATCATGGATTGGTTTGGTTATTACATCATCTCTTTCTTATGCTCATGATTACAGTGTGGCAAAGAGTGCATTGAGGTTTCTTGAGCAAATGGAGGCTGCCCACGCGCTCTGATTCAGATAAAAATCAATTAGCGTGGATTAGCGGTGAAAACAATCAATGCCGGCCTAGCGTTACACTCTAGCAACCTACCACAACAAACAGAGCAGGTCTGGCAAACGGAAAACAGCCCAGTCTTTGGGACACAAAAGCCATCTGACTGCACCTTGAAATTACCCCCAAACGATTCTCCCGCATTTCAGGGGTACGTTCGTATGTGCGTTGTGTGTGTGTTTGTAGACACTGAAAAAGAAGGAGCAAACTGAATCCCTAATCCATCTCATTATGGTGACTCATTCACACTTATATCATCGTACGGCACTAGGGTGTCCCATTATCTGAAGAAAGTTTTGTCTCTGCTAATGCAGCGGGAGGCGATTGAACGGGTGCCAGTGTGCTGTCACAGATGCCAGCTTCAAGTAAGGATAAGGAGGGTTGGCTTTAATCACTTCACCGAAAGCAGCAGATGGCTGTCATCTTGGCAAGGCGGTGGAATCGGCTGGACAGAGATTATGTGCGGGAGGTAAGTCCTCAATTTACAACGGCAACTGGGATCAGGATTGCCACTGTTAAGCATGGCAGTGGTTAAGTGAGCCAGACTCCATTTTATGACCTTTCTTTGGCCAAGGTTGTTATAAAAGAAAATCACTGCAATTGTGAAGTGAAGCATGCAAGTCATTCAACAAATCAGGCCGAAGCTGTTTGGGAAGTTTGCAAAGAGTGATCACATGAACAAAACTCCACATTGGCAACAGAAAGAGCATCCGGCCACTAAAACAGTTGCCCAGACTCCACCCCGCAAAGGATTATTGGGTCATTAAAAGATAATGATGATGATCACATGATTCCAGGAATGCTGCAACTGTCACATATACATGTCAGTTTCCAAGTGCCTGAACTATGATCATGTACGACCATGAGGATGCTGTGAGCTCAAAAGTGCAAGAACCGGTCATTAAGTCATTGTTTCCAGGGTCATTGTAACTTCAAATGGCTGCTAAACTAATTGTCATCAGCCAAGGACTATCTATAAAAATGACCAAAGATGAGCTTTTTATTTCAAATGGCCCCAATTCTAGTTTTGGATAAAACTTTGCAGGATTTGCAAGCACTAAAGAGATTTATATGGAGGGGGCGGGGAAGGAGAATAAGATTTTAAAACTTGCAGGATTGGAAAGAGAGAAGTGGCCTTGGCTTTCTTAAACTTCACTTGATTCTACTGTGCTGGCTTGCTATCATGGATAATAAAATGAATAAAATCCCCTAACAGCAGAATATCAATCATAGAAAGAGCCATCTTACCCAATTATTTTCATAGGTATTTATGGTATCAGTCAACCAAAGAAGAAAAGAATTTGAAAGGCCAGAGGATATTTGATAAAATATATACATATATATGTACTTTTTAAAAACCAAGAGAAATACATTTTTAACATTAGGGTTACTGTCAAATGCCTTTCATTTTAGCAATAACTATAGTAACGAAGATATAATTGCTTATGCCAATACATGTGGTACATTAAGATTCAGGAAACAGGTTAAAGAAATGTTTGATGAATGTATGAATTTATCATGGCTGATGTACTCACATTGCTGGGAGAATTAAAAAATGACCTCGAGAAAGAGATTTTGAGAAAGACGGCAGAATTTAAAATATTTATAAAATACTAAGGTCATCTATTAGGACGGATATACAAATTGCCAAGGAAGTATGACAAGCATGGAAGAAATAAAAAAGCTGAATGATAAAATGGATTTAAAACTTCAAAGAGCTAATCATAGCACAACAATGGGTAGAACTATAGAAGAATCAATTAAATTTATTCCAGGTTATAATTTAAGGGGAACTTGGTATAACAGAAGGCACAGAAGTAATAAAAGCAGGATAGAAGAACAATCTAAAGCTAAAATCTAAATAACTCAGTTAATAATAAATAACTAACTGGGATGAGAAGCAAGATTTCTTCCCCCCCCCCCCAAAAAAAAAAAAAAAACCATTGAGACCAGTTAATAATAATCAAATCAAATAACAATAAACATTGGAAATTCCATAGCAAGGAAGGAAAACTTTTTCGTATGTGGTGATCATGTTAAAAACAAACCCAGCAGATTCAAGAGTACTGGAAAGAGATACACCAACATTTTCAGAAAATCTTAAAAATAAAATCTGAATCCCCCACATATATTAGGCATAATTGCAGAGAATTTAAATGAAAAACATCACAGTTTACTAAGATTTATACTGAAAGCCGCAAGAAAAAAATTAGGAACAGCACTGGAGAAAAAGAGAACCTTGCTCACGATAGCAGATTGGGAAGCTAAAATTTGAAGAATAGACAACCCTGTCAAAACTGACATTATATATCCATAACAGAAGTTTAAGTAAGAATGGCTCCTATATACACACGACACATTACACAGCAGGAGAAATGTAACCATTTAAGAATACTGTTTTTCTGAAGAAAGTTGTGAGGCCAATAAAAAATAATTAGATAAAAAGATTTAAAGAGATATTAGTAACACTCTTTAATGTTTAATATAAAGTATAAATATCTAGGCTGTGTTCAGCGGTTGGTAAACTCAGTGGAAGAGAAAGGGAAAATGTATTATTAGAAAGTCTTCCCAGAATGTTTTTAATGATGTTTAGCAGTTGTTTTTTAATCTTCCTTGACTGTTAACTCTCTAGTGCTTTATTATTCTTGGAAAAACAAGTATCTTTGTTTTGTTTTTGGTTTTTACATTTTGATGTTGTCCTATCTGACCCTCAACATTAATCACATAACAAAACTGTTGTGGTATTACACCAGAAAAAAACTGATCGTTGATTAACTTTCCCTGGTTAATTGGAGAAGTGGTTTTTTTAAAAAAAAATTGGTGACTTTTAAGATATGTGGATCCTTGTGCCCAAGGCAAGATTGGAGCTCAGAATCTTCTGCTCCCAATCAAATAACAGATAACAGATAATCAGAGTTGGAAGGGACCTTGTAGGTCATCTAGTCCAACCCCCGTCCAAACGCCTCTACACTCTCAATAAGAATAAATCCCTCTAGTTTTCTTGGCCACATTTTCAAAAGCAATTTGTTGATTATGAAATTTCTATACCACCCTTCTCACCACCCAGGAAAGCCGGCTGGGTGACTCTTAGCCAAATCACCAAGAGACTGTGAATTCTAGTCTCACCTCAGCCATGAAAGCCAGCTGGGTGACTCTGGGCCAATCACCAGGAGACAGTCAATTTGGGTTTGGGCCAATCACTCTCTCTCTCAGTCCAACCCACCCCATAGGCCTGTTGTTCTGGTGTGGATTGCCGTATGTCAAAAATGGTGCAGGGTCTGTTTGGGTCCGACTAGATGACCTACAAGGTCCCTTCCAACTGTTAATCTGTATCTGTATCTTTAACTCTGATAAACCTGTAGTATCAGGTGTGCTTGCTGCCTTAAGTTATTTATAATAATGCCAGGGTATAATAATAATAATAATAATAATAATAATAATAATAATAATAATAAT